CCCCCAGATTGAAACTGCAATTTCACCGTGACCGATAGGTAAATATGTGTCTTAGTTTGCGATTTGTTGCGTAACTTCATGTTATATAATTGTATTTTTCTGCATGCACTCTTATTATTCAAGTTCCACCTCTTACTTTGAATTGTAAAACGTATGGGGATTTTCAACACACATTAGGTATGATGGATCTGTAGATACGCTGAAAAAAAAGTATGGTAACATCTATTATAAATCTACTTTTTTTTACACGGTGATACTACTTATTAAGAAAATAACCAGGATAATAGTATATTATTCACCAGAACTCTGGTGATACTTATACCATAATATGGTGAGCGTTACCATGGAGTCTGGTGTTTATTACTCATATCATCGTCAGAGTATGGTAAAATTTACCATATTTTTGTTTCAGTGAGGGTTAACATTAAAACGCCATGAGCAAAGAATTGTTCACACTTCAAAGTTTCACGCCAAATATATGATGTGATTATTTGAAATTCTCAAAACTTACTTTAGACTGGACCAGTATAATTTTTATGGTTCACCCTGCAGGGTGAACCATATGTTTCTAATTACTAAATATATGTATATATAGTATATAGTATAGTATATATGTATATGTTTCTAATTGCTTATTCCATGGAATAAGCAATTAGAAACTTTCGCTCGCGACAAAATCCAAATCGCAGTCTAACAATGAGTTGAATTTATCATTTTTTATGAACGTGGCTGGTTGAAAAATAACCAGAGTTATTTGCTAAATTTTTTTCATATTCTCCAACACGCAGTATTTGTATACTTATTAAGAAGAAATCGACGTACTATGAGACTCTTTAATGAAGAGTTAATACTATGGAATACACTCGGGATGAAATAATTTTTTTGCAATTTGGCTTGAATAAATTTTGGTTTTTTCGGCATTAGTAGCCGTAATAATTTGACTCATTACATGCTTTGTCATAAATTATGTTCTCTTCTCTGTCACAGAATAAAAACTTAAATGATATACATTTTCTCCCAGGAAAAAAATTGGAATTATTGGAAAATTCTTACTTTTGTGCAAAACCAGGATTAAACATGAAAATCTGAGAATAATTTTGAAAAGAAGCCACCCCTTCTCAGCTCAAATCATCCAAATTATTCATTTATTCATCAAATTATCCAATCTCTCTTTATATTCATTCATTGACCTGTCACACGAAATCTGTATAACCCTTGGTCCCAAAATTGCACAGTCCCTCGCTTTTTTAACGTTTTCTTTTCTTCTTTGTTTTCCTGGTAAATTTAAAAAAGTAGAGATGGCATCTTTTCGAAACTATCCATTCAATTGGTGTTAAATGTAAGTCATAAAAGGTGAAATGGCCACACTGAAAAAATGACGATCGCTTTTTTCGCCATGCAAATTTTCTTTCGCAATTTTCCCTGTTTATCTTTTCACTTTTTATTTTATATTTTGTTTTGCAATGCATTATTAATGGTAAAAAAGGACACCTTAATAACAGTTCTCAGTACACGCAGATATTTTTCTTGCAGAAAAGTCTTTTTTTTTATGAGTCAATCCCATTCAGCTGTTCAGCTATCATTCCCTTGTCTCATGGATCCAATTAGGTACTTCTCATTCACTCATTATTCAGAGCGCTCTGAGAAAAACTTACGGACGTTTGCTTACCCACGAAATATTTAATTAAAAGACTGCATCATTTCTGAGGATACTTGCTTTTGCATGATTCTCCAAAGTATAAAATCTAGAAAATCAAAGCTAAGTAAACAATCCGAAAATTTGGGGTGTCATATTTAAACAGTAAGAATCATTCGTTATCGGAAGCTACTACTGAAGTATGAAGTCAAAACATGTGTATTCTCCGATGGTGACGTTAAACGTCATTGCACATGTTTTATTTTTATTTTTTTTTTATTTTTTTAAAGAGGAAACCAACCAACACTTTTTGGATTAAGTATTTTCTTTGATTATTTAAAAATATTCCTAGAAACTTGCTAGAAGAAATTTTTTTTATAGTAGTTTCCTCTTGGAAAAAATGTAGAAAAACAGGAAATTATTAAATTTTGCAAAATAAATAGGCATTATTCGACTTTAACCATCGAATTTTCATGCTGAACTGTAAATTATGCAGTCAGTTTGAATGTAGAATTCTTGGCTTTCGTCTTGTCATAATCGCAAAAAATAATATGCTCCACGAATGAAATTGATCGATTCCATGTTGCTAGGTCAGCTTTTTCAAAGCCCCTTCATTTACAATGGATGCAACTATTTCTACACGCCGCCGTTCATTTGAGTGCTGCCACCTATGAGCATATTGGCAAACTAAGAGTTTCAAAAACTTCCAACAGATCTCGCGAGAAGATACGCATCATTCCAAGAAAGCTAACCTATGTCATCATCCATGTTGCTTTTTAGTGAGCTTCTGTATTGAAAGTTTTCGTAAACTCGTGAAGTGATTACCGGTGTGCTAATTTTATTGTTTTATTTGTGTCTAATTGATCGGATTGCCGCTTATATACGAGCTATTAACTGCCTAACCATGTCAGGTCAGTACCTCTTCAATTTCAATGTGTAGTACCGTGCCCAAGGTCATTATTTGAGTGATAATTTTAGTTGGTCTCCGAAACGTGCTGCCATCTCACCACTTCACTTCAGTTACAATCTTAAAGTTCTTACGATTCTTACAAGACAATTCTCAACTTTGAACATCATTCGTTATTGGCCCTTGCGAATATTTAGCAATGGTATCTTCCCGTTGATTGGCGCACCGAACTTCGCGAACTTTCTGTATGCTCTCTGTGGATGCCAAACTAACCTTCTAGAAGAATTCGAGAGTCTCGTGGTGCCTTAAATAATTTGTTGGAATCGCATATTTTCAGTACATATCATGTCGTTTTCGTTCCGTGATAAGCCGAGACTGAGTGATAGACTACGCGGTAAATCGGGTGACGAAATATTCGACGAATTACAGAAAGCTTTGGACGAAAATAAGAAAGAAAGGGAGAAGAGAAGAAACATGTTTTTTGAATCCACCCCCAATTGGGAAACTTCTAGGGTGCCTCGAGCTGATGCCTTTTTCTCTCAAGTAAGTGGGGTTGTGTGTGCCTGAAATTTGATTTATGTTTTGCCCAATGAATTCTATGCTAAATTTGCATTAAGCTTTGTTCCGTTTGAAGTAACCTCACCCGATTTACCCATGCTTCGGTTTATCATCTCTGCGTATTATTTTACTTCGCTAGTCAGCTCGATTGATGGTACTAGCTAACTTCTTGAATGTTTTAATTCCATGGCAACTGTCTATTATTTGGATTTTTAACTGATGAGGGGTGGCTTACCTCTTCTGTCCAATTTGCTTTGATGAGCAAGTCTGTGCTTTTCACACTGTTTCCAAAGTTACTTCTCTTGTTTTTACCATATATGGAAACTTAACTGACTGGATTCGTCTCCCCTCTCAATCTTCAAAAGTTAATGTCCCTGATTCATACTATCGGTTGTATTGCAGACCTGATAACCACACCTACTCCCTGACTGTCTCAGTATCTCCTGCACTCCTCCCAAATTGAGTTCTCCATGCCGTTTGTCTCCCAATCCCAATTGCCTTGCTAGCATTTCCTCCACATGATCTTTTCATCTATTTAGAATAATTTTTTAAAGCCAATGTCCTTTGAAGAAGTTGATCTAAAAAAAAATGTTTTGAGCGTGTCCTTACAAGCTGAATTACTTTTTTATCGAAACATAGTGTTTAAGTAGCAATTTCTTTAGTGAACAGACTGTTCCATTTGGCTGATTTGTTTGTATTGCCCGAGGTATAACTCAGATATTTAATTTTTTTTTTCAACGAGAACATTGAATTTCATAGACATTTCTCCCCAGAGATTTATAGTTTCATGCAATCGTAGTTACTACCAGTCAGAATGGCATTTGAGGATATGTTTAGTCCTACAGTTACTGGGTTTGGACTGATCGCCAGTGCAGATTATTCTGACACTCTTTTTCCATTCTTGTACGTAACATGTCGAGTCCAACTACGCATTCATTCTTAGATGCCTTTCTGGTAGATTGTAGCACTATTTTGCATTGAAAAGCGTATCTTTGTTAAGAAAGTACTTGAGTAATGGTATGTGTAATTAGTTGAAGAAAATTTTCTGAATATCTGGCCGAAAACATCTGCACGCTGGCTTAATGGAACCAATAGTCTGTATGTTTTTTGCATTCAAATCACTCATGCCAAGAAACGCCAATTAAATGTATATTTGGTCTCATTTACTTCAGGGTCCTCCCTGTAGCAGGACCCTCTCCGATTTGAGTATCTAGACCACTACTTATACTAGTGGTTGACTACCACTCTTTCATGAGTCTCATCATGTTCATTCTGTTATTTATGACAACTCTTTGGAAATGAACAAAATTATTGTACTGCATTACGGAATTACGCACACTAATCAGTGTTATCTTGAATTTAGTGCAACATCTAGTGAATTGTTGCTATGTCCATGTAAAACAGAGGTTGAACTGTATCTGAACCTCTCATCTGCTGAATTAGATTAATTTCATGGAGAATGGAGATAAACATCTTAAATTAAATCTATTGCATCCAGACATCTATACAATTGTAGTATTAGGTGTTGACCGTGTAAGTAAGTCGGCAATCACATAACTCGGTCTGCGAAGTCGCAAACGTCCTGTCATAATTTATTTTTTAAACAGTAAAGAAAATTCTGCATAAACTTCCAGGAATGATGTCAATTTGTTCTCCTTGAAAAAAATAACATAGAGGCGGAGATTTTCAGACACCACAAACAAGATATGTGATTGTGGACTTTTGCTGTCGATATGGTTATGGAGTGGGTCCAGCAGAAAAAAGCGAATTTTTTGGATTACCAGAGCTAAAAATCTGCCGTTTTCTTCAGTATCACCTTCATTTACTGTCAAGAAAATTTTTTATTCCAAAAATGTAATTTCAATGAGCTGTCATAACTTCGGATCTTTATTGCCGAGTTCACCATGGAAGTCCTTCTTTGCTGCCAAAAACTGCATTGTTTTTGAAATGTCAATAACTTTGCTCTCATACTTCAAACAAAGAGCCGAATTTATTGGACGCCATTTTACAAATAGGAACTACAATTATTGGCTCACAGTCAGTTCAGAAACAACGTATGTACTCCCCCTACGCACCCTATGCTCACAAGTATTTTTACGGATGATCCAGTAATTGCAGTTCCTAATAGCAAAATGTGGCCCAATTTAAAGGTAGGAACCAATTTTACAGTAGGACTAACTAAATTTTGCAACAGGGAACCACGCTTTCTGGCCAACTTCGGAAACAACATACTTACGTCCCAATAATTTCCCTATGCTGACTAGTGTCTTTGGGGAAGAACCAGAAATAGTAGTTGCTCACTGCAAAATGTAGTCCAAGTGGACAACATTTTGCAACTAAGAATTAAAATATTTGGCTCATTGGTAAACACTCGGTGTATAAGGAAAATAATGGTACATATGCTGTTTTTAAACTGAACCAGATGTCGTAGTTTCTAATTGTAAAATGTTGTCCAATTGGCTCTCTTCAAAAATTCCTATCGGTGGAATTCATTCTCAGGAAAAAACTAGAGTACCTTTATAGACAGAGTATGGCCATTTCTGTTCCGGTTTTTCATTGGTCGCGAGCGAATAGGCTGACACGATGCTCTTAGGGCCGTAAATAAACAAAGAAGATGGCTGTTATCGGCAAGCAAGATTGAGGTTATGTACATCTTACATCCTCCTGTGATAAAGGTGAAAGGCGATTTAACAATGTTTTCGTGTTTTTTTTCGTGTGTTATTTGTAGATATGCTAGTTTAAATTGTTACTGCCGTATAATTGAAATTTTTGTCAAATTTAGCTTTTTATCGATGTTACGGTGAGTCGCCATCTTGTTTGTTTATATACGGCCCTAAGAGCATCATGAAGCCTAAAAACTCGTTGACCAATCAAAAAGCGGAACAGTTTTCCTGTAGTAAAAAGATACGAATGGCCATACTCTGTCTATAAAGGTACTCTAGAAAAAACCAACTGCGAAGTAATGCCTATATAGGAGTTCCTGCAAACCAAACCAAGAAACCGATGAGCAGTCCTCCCATTTCCCAAATACATAGTCTACCTAGTATTCCTATGTACGTACGGGTTTTTACGGATGAACGAGAAATTGTAATTCCTGATTGCAAAATGAAGTCCAAGTTAGCACACAAGGCCGTTTCTCTTTGACTGGATCAACTGCAGGGTGTCAGCAAGTCCGGAATTTGCGGAAAGTTCGGAAATAGTACTGATTTTTTAAGGGCGGTCCGGAAGTACTGAAATAGTGTGAAAATTCCGCGAGAAGGTCCGGAATTTTTCTAATTTTTTTAGTCTCAATTTGAGCGAAATTAAATTTTTTTAAATTTCGTCAATAATTGGAAGTACTGAAAAAGTACTTACTGGATTTTTTTGTTTAGGAGGTACTGAATTTCTTGGGAATGTACTGAAAAAGTACTGTAAAAGTACTAATTTTTGGTTATTTAGTAGACACGCTGAACTGGATGGAACAGTGCAATTCGGAACGACAATTCCTGGCTCAGTTTAGAAACAATGCATGTACTATTTATTTCCGTCTGCACATAAGTGTTTTCTCGGACAAGCCACAAACTATAGTTCCTGATCGCTAAATGAAGTCAAACTATGCACTCAAGGACTTAACTGCGAAGAAAACAGCGTTTGTTGGTTTTCACACCGCAGTGCAATTTTTAGGGTGAGCTTACGTTCGGACCCGCAATCCGTTCACCGACGGATATCGACCAAAAATTTGGCGACTGTCCCAAACCCTCCTCCTTCGCCTCCAGTACCGATTGCAAGCTCATAAAAACTATTTTGCAATTCATCTCCCGGTCTTCACCCCCGCGGGCCGGCCAACGTACGAAGCTCTGGCGCAGAGCATCAACAAAGCGGTGAGACCTCTTTCAGGGCTTCTTCTATACTGCTGTACTAAAAAAGAACGCCGTATGAGCATTCGGACGTTGCCAAGTTTCTTCCGATGGAAACCGAAAATTGTGGGAATCATTTTCCATAATTTTTAGACAATTTTGTGCGCAATTTAGTCTATAATATCTGAAAGTTTCAAAAAAAAATATGCACGAATGTTGTTTAAAATACATGTTTTATCGAGGGCAATTTGGCAACTCTTAAATTTTCGTACGGCGTTCTTCCTTCGCACGATAGTATAGGCGCCGCGTTCGGATGCAAAACCGGGTAAAGCGGAAGAATATTGATATAAAAGGAGAAAACCAAAACCCTGTTCGTCACGCTGTGGCCGTTCTTAAAATAAGTAACATTGGAGGAAGGAGGGATTCGTGGAGAGCGTCATCTTTACATCTATTAACATTTTAAAACGGAATTACATTTTCACGTGCTATTTAAAAAAGATAGGGACCCACGTCGTCACCTTCCGGCCGAAGTATCACAAGCGTCATGCGACGTTTAAAAATCACCGCCGCTTTTTTATTTATTTACCGATAAATTGTTGGTTGAATCTGTTGGAAAATTTCACTGAATTTTATCGGCGGCCCAAAGAAAGCTCACGGCAAATTGAGCCGGCAAATTGAGTCGGTCTATGAGACACACGGCTCGAGGCGTGACGCAGCGCCTTGTGTTGACTGTAAAGATGGGTCCTCTCAAAATTCCTTCAATTCGGAGGGTATGCAATTTCATCTCCGGAGAGTTAAAGTAGTTGCTCGAGGTAAAAGCCGCCCTGGCCAACGCGAGACCAGGCGCGCGGCGCGACTCTGCGCCTTGATCGCGAGATGGGGCATAATGTTGCAATCCTGCAAGCTGATTATTGAAATCGATTGACAAAGTTTTAAGCAGGGGTGCAAATTGTTCTCGACTGCGACCAAATTTTGAAGGCCAAGAGGTTTTTTCTTTTTTTTTCCAAGGATTTTCAGGTCAAATCAGCGTGTATTGGTCTGCTTTTTGCGAAAATCTGGCGCGTTCCATAAATGGAACACACTTTTGATCAGCGCGTCGCGTCGTGCTGTCTTTTTTTGCTAAAACCTTCGCGTTGCGGAATAGTGGAA